ATATTAGTATACAAAATTAATTCATAACAAAAGTACCAACTAAAAATAATAATTGAAATGAGTAGTTCTCGCGAATACATAAAATGTATGCAATGAGATGCATGAATGTACTCACTCCCTTCTAATCCCGTTAACACATACCTAAGGCACCCAAGCCTGCACGTCCCATACCATGCTTATACCACTTGGCTCCGAGTACGTTAGAATATGAGTTAACTCCATTTCATCCCTTAACCCAATTTTTGTGTAATTAAACTCTCAGTTTTCACTTTATTAAACAAGCACTTCCCCTGACACCCAATGTATATTCAAGCCCTGCACCATACGCATGTCATATACAAGATTTCATTATTTTTAATAATCAACCAATTTGTATACTCAAGCCCTGCACCCTACGCCTAACATATATAAGGTTCATTATTTTATATTCAAGGCAAATTTCAGCCCTTGAATATCCTCACAACTTAAACACTTTACACAACTCAACACAACTAAACTCTCTTTCCTGCTTTGCAATGCATATGTATGTGTAATGTTCACATAGATATCAATACTCACACTTTATCTTACAAGCTTGCAAGTTTCAACATAAATCAAATTAATTAGTAACAAGAATAATATAATCATAATATTAATAACAAAGTAATAATTTATAATCCATCATATAAAATGTTGCTCGTTGACCACTCCATATATGTTTTTCCAACATCTCATCCATCTTGGTCGGGCAACCTATTTCTATTAGAAAATAATAGACATCCATGTTAGAGAAAATAATTGTTAGAGTGAGATATATGTCTCAAAGGCCACAAGGCATGGAATCATGTTTCTAGCTTTTCCCTTTCCAAACATCATCTTTTATTTTTATTTTAGCCCACCACTTCTACTTCTTCTTCTTTAATATAGCTGAAACTATCAGCTGTTCGAACTGGGATATAAGTCAGCACATAGATCAGATTGTCATAGTTTTTGGATATGTTATAGAGGAGATGATAGGGAACAACTTTTGTGAAGGAAGTGTTTCGATTGGAGCTACGAAAAATGGGGTTTAGGTACTCATAACATGGCTGTCCAGTTTTCTGCGGGATTAGAGACTGAGTTGGTATTTTAAACATATTGGAAGATCGCACCGTGGGATTTTCCTGAAATTTTTGATATATCATGGTAGAGAGACAGACAAACAACTCTTATGAAGAAGGTACTTTGATATAATCTATGGATGATGGTGTTTTGATATGCTAAATAGGCTGGACGAATTTCTAGTTTTGGATATCTTTCTGTCGATAGATGAAAATGATAGTAGTTTGATGGAGAGATTTGTTGGGTAAAGTCTCATGTATTTTTCTGGGATTTGTCTCACAATTTTGTACATCATTCTCAAGTGAAAATAAATAGAGATTTTCCATAGTTTGGTGGAAGTGCTTCTCATGGAAATGATCTCCAAATGTAAGTGCATAAACAACACAAGATTTAAGTGGTTTGCCAAATCGACTACATCCACTGGGGTTTGCTTTCATTGTATTTCACTATATATAAGAAACTTACAAATACAATGAAAGCTGGCTTAAAGCCTTCAAGAAAGATAAAGAGATAATATTAAAAGGAGGATGGCTTTTTGTTGGAGTTGTTCTCTTCTTTTTTTTCTTCTTTTTCTCTCTTCTCTCTTCTCTCTTCTCCCCCTTCTCCCGTTGGTTCTTTGCTCCTTCCTTTATAAAGATTGAACAACCTCTTCCTTCCCATTTAGTTTGAGGAGAAAGCTTCCAAGTGTGCCGATAGAAAGAAAGCAAGTGTTGTGCCAATCATTAGACATAAAATGTGTTCCAATAGAAACACACCAAATGTTAACCTAATCATCACCATGAAATATGTTCCAATCACAAAGCAACAATGTTATTCTCATCATTAACAATGAAATGTGGTCCAATAGACAAACAACAAATGTTAAGCAAAACCTTAGCTCTAATATGTGTTCAAATGGCAAAGAGACATGTGTGAAGTTAATCAATATTATGCAAGGTGAATAAACACTCAAAAGCCACGTTCAAAGTCTAAGGGATATGAATCCCACCTCTCCAAACTTTGGAGGGATGAATCATCACCAAACATTTAACTCTTAGATTCCTAATACAAACTTGCCAACTCACCCTTAAGTAGATTTGCACCTTGACATTTAGAGTGGTGAGTAATCACCAAAACATTAACTCCTAATGTTACAAGCTCTCCACCTCATCTTTGAAAGAAAATATCAAGACAAAATTACTCACTTATTCCAACCTCAAACTCTTGCCCTTTGTGAGGAAAATCAAACCAAACTCATTTAATCTCCCTTTTCCAATTCAAACTAAGAATATCTCTAATTACATATGAACATGAAATACTACTAGCTAGTTTTTGAAATAATTTGTAGCAAAAAGGATTTTGCATTGAAACTATTTCACATATCAAAAGTAGGTTCTTGCATAAAATAATTACGTAAAAATAATTACCCACATACACACATACAGACATACACACATATATATATATATAATCATTTTTTTTAAATACGGTATACACCCGACCTCCCTTTCCTTGCACTCATCCTCCCATCTTCCCCCTCCCAGCTTCCCCAAACCCACCGCGCACCCATCCTCCACCTCCACCTCCGCACCCACCCTCGCACCCTTCGCACCCATCCTCCACCTCCTCCTCCGACTACCCTCTTCCCTCCATCGATCTACACCTAGAGGCGTCGCACCTCAACTGCATCAGTAGCACCGCATCCGTCATCGATTTCTAGACTTGGACTTCGTCCTGGACCCAAACTTCTCGAGATCGCGGTGGTAGTTTCGAAGCTCCACGCCCCGGTGCCATAATTCGGACACGGACTACAGTCTGGTTCCTAGTCGACGTCACCATTTCACGTCGGGTGCAGATCGACAGAAGGAAGGGGATTGAGGGAGGGGACGGAAGAGGAGGTGGAGGATGGGTGCAAGGGTGGGTGTAGAGGAGGAGGTAGAGGATGGGTGCACGGTGGGTTTGGGGAAGACGGGAGGGGGAAGACGAAAGGATGGGTGTAGGGAAGGAGGGGTTGAGGAAGATAGGATCTGGGTTTTTTTAATTTTTTAATTTTTTTAATGGTAAATTATTATTTTAATAATTTTTTAATAGAAAGTGGGCCCGCCTCAAGCCATGTCAGTATTTAACAGAGGAATTGACAAACAACTGATGGAAGGTATGACATTGCAACAAATTCGAAGATAAGGTATGACATTGAAACTTTTTAAAGATGATGTATGAAACTGTTAATGACCTAATAATTGGGGTAGTTTTATGTAATTTATCCAAAATTTTAACAAGCAATAATTTAACAATTGAGATTTAAAATTTCTATATGTTAACACTACCTTAAAAATTAAGCAACTAAATAATTCAATAGAAGAAGACATTGGAAAGCACCCAAAACTAAAGCAGTCTTGTGATATATGTCACGGGGTAGTTCTTTGTCATCAGAAAACTTGTGAAATTTGACTCGACTCGATGTTAGCATGTGACTTGTATTGGTTTTCTTCTCCATTAGGAAATAAATTGTTCTCTTGTATTTTCTTTTTATTTCAAAACCTTTTAAAGGCCGAACTAATTAACCCAACATAGATTTTTTTTATTCATATATGTCAACAAAACCTTCAGCATGTTGTATTTCGCCATGCCTCGTTTGGTATGGATGATTGGATTGAAATAGATAAACAACTATTTCAAGGTATCTTGAAACAAGAAACGAATAATTTGGAGTCAACTTGGAGTTAAAAGATAGATTACTCAAGAATGAACGTTGTTCATTTCAATCCTCAAAAAAATGAGAGTATTAGAAGAGAGAAGTTTTTTTTCATCTTCTTCTAATTTCCTTAAAATGATAAATAATTTTCTTCTACTTTGTTTTCTTCATGTTGAATCTTTTTCTAATCTCCTTAAAATAATAAATAATTCTCATCTACTTTTAAAATGCATTAGAGAGTTATCTATTTCAATTCAATTCAATTCTTCATACCAAACAAGCTACTAATGTTATAAAATCCATATTTATTTGACAGTGTACCAAACTATAAGAATTGCAAACCAACTCATCAAATGATCAATGGTCAATTCAATTCTTCTATAAGTCTTGGAAAAAAAGAGATGATTTAAATTAGAAAATAAAGATATTTAAGGCATGCTAACGAGAGATTATTTTCTTACAATATTATTGGAAGGAATCGAATAATATGCGTTATATTTAAGATTCTATTTAGGAGATATACAAGGTTTTCTTAATTTTTTTTTTTTTTTACAAGCAACATTAAGGAAGAAGGGCATATGAACTTGAAATTTCAGTTGCAACTATAAATGTTTCTAACCAACTAAACTTCGAACAATTTGCATCTTGAATACAAGTTGAATTGAACCCAAAACATATTTGCATCTCAACCCATTTGACGGGTAAGATTGTAAGCTGCTCATCGGCACGTACATCACAAGTTTTGAGCAAACCCTAATTTGGATGAACAGAACAGAAAGAACGAATACAGGTGTAACAGACATGACGTTCTTATCCAACTGCAACACAAAACGCGTCTTCGCTTTGGGTCAACTTGACATGATCACCCATGTTGAAAAGCGTTTCACATTTATTTTCAACTTGGAAATTTCTTCTTCCCATTATATTATCTGCAACCGTGACTTTTCTTATTTTAATTTCTTTATATATAAGATTTAGAGAACTTTAACGAAAAGCTCTTAGTACTGTTTATTTTGACGAAAAATCATATTTTTACACTAAAAATTAATTCTTGTACTATTCATTTTACCCTTTATTTTGTCCTTATCATTCAAATTCAAAGTTTTCAAGTTTTTTTCATTAGTTTTCCTTAAGATTTAAGGATCATTTAATAAATATCAACCATGGTTACTTAAACTAACTCTAGTTAATCTATAATGCTTGAATCCCGGGACTAAAAGCCTTTTTATATGGATCGTTTTCAAGTGATCTCTCATATCAAAATCTGCAACTCTCTCTTTCATCCTCCCGTAATTTGAAACTAGCAGGCTTTCTTGGTGACTGGTCTCACTCTCAGTTTCTGGTTCGAATTTCTCTTTGTTTGTTCCCATCCTTTACATGCAAAAGAAAGGGTAAATAATGTTTAGTATCGGGTACTAATTTACAGGATTATTTGCTCGATTTTCATTTGGATTGCTTAATTATTTAGCCAAATATATTTGCATGTTTTGCAGGGAAAAAAAATAAACAAACATGGCTCAGAATAATAGGGCAGAAATTGGAGGGTTTAACTATTCAAGGACTGGAAGTATGGGACGCCATGGACTGCCGAAAATCCAAACCCAGCATGAGAAGTCCTCGGCCGAGGTTTGCCACGACGACAGCACAACGCCGGTGAAGGCCAAGACGATCGACGAGCTCCACTCTCTTCAGAAGAAGAAGTCGCAACCCACCACCCCCATCACCGGATCGCAGGGGGCTTTTACCCCCACCATGTCTGAAGAGGATCGCCACAGGCAGCAGCTCCAGTCCATCAGGTACGTGTTTGTTTAGATTAATCATGCAGTTCTGAGTTCTGACCGAAACGCTGCGTTTTTATGTTACTCAAATGGTGGTGCACTGTGCAACGTGGGTGTCTGTGACAGTGCCTCATTGGCGTCACTGACGAGGGAGACGGGGCCGAAGGTGGTGAAGGGGGACCCGAAGTCAGATGGGCAGAAGGCGACGCATGTTGAACATCATCTTTACGACGCTTCTCTCTTTGGCGTCAGTGATAGTGCCCTCAAGTTTACCCATATCCTTTACAATCTCTCTCCTGCTGGTAATTCAATTTGCAATCCCTACTCATTAGTCATTAATATTATAAAGTTGATATAGGAATAATCATAGATTGGTAAGGATCATATTAGGTGATAATATCTTATATATTTAGTGGGTATCGGGGACATAAGTCACATGACGTATCATTTCACGTATTATAATGTGATGTACCATTCAATGTGCTAAAATAAGGGTGGATAACTGTGTTAGTATGTCCTATTTATAGTCCATATATGTTGATAAAAAAAAAATTGTGATTGGCATTCTAAAAATGTTATTCTACACTCTAAACTGTCTATATTTAGAAAGAAAAATACATTTGTAAGAAGTATAGTATGAGATTTTTGGAGTGCCAATAACATTTCCAAAAAAGAATAATACTTAGTTGCTCACTAGGGAGTACTGCATATTCTCATTTTTCAGATTTTGCCCAATAATATTTTAACACATGTTTTATTATTTTGAAAAAAAATGTGCACTAGTTATTTAATTTTTCTTGAACTTTTAAAAACAAGAAACACTTATCATCTTTTATTTGAACTCAATTATAAAGTCACTTGTTATAATAATAATATAAGTAAAATAATAACTACAGGATACGAGACCATGATTTTAGTCCAACAAAAAATCTCTTAACATCTATTTGAAATAACAATTCATTATAGACTCATAGTAATCGATGTTACAGGTCGAAAGCACATATTATATGTGCTTGCGTGTACGAATCAACTCGTCAAAATAATCATGATTAGACTCCAAGGAGATGCTGGAGCATATAGTATTAGTGGGATAAGATAAAATAAATAAAAAATAAAAAAAAATTAGTAGGATAAGGACAGGTTATTTAGTATTTGAGTATTAATTAGTGATTAATATATGTAGTATGGTTTGTATGACAATCCCAAGAGTCATTTTAAATTTTCACATTTTTGAACAATTTTCCTTCAAAGTAATCCAAACTGATAAAGGTCGTACCCAGTGCACAAGGCTCCCGCTTTACGCAGGGTCTGGGAGAGGTGAATGTCGGCTAGCCTTACCCCCATTTTATGGAGAGGCTGCTCCCAAGTCTCGAACCCGAGACCTACCGCTCATGGGCGAAGGCACTTGCCATCGCACCAAGTGCGACCTCTAAAGTAATCCAAACTGATATTTTTATAAATTTGCATATTAATATTTTCATCGATATTAGTATTTTAAACATGAATTATAAACTAACTTATTCTTCATATGTACGTACAGAACTATATGAGCAAGCTATAAAGTATGAGAAAGGTTCGTTTATAACGGCATCGGGTGCGTTGGCCACTTTATCTGGGGCAAAAACTGGGCGTTCTCCAAGAGACAAACGAGTTGTCAAAGATGAAGAAACTGAAAACGAGCTTTGGTGGGGAAAGTAAGTGCCTGCTTGCTTCTTCTAAGTACCGCAATTAACATATTTGATTAACCTTAATTACCCAATTGAGTGATAATTTGTTTTGCTTAATGAATTAGGGGCTCACCCAACATTGAAATGGACGAGCATACTTTCTTAGTGAACAGAGAAAGAGCTGTAGATTACTTGAATTCCTTGGACAAGGTATTACTCAAAGACGTGTTGATCATTATTCGTCCTCATTTGTTTTTCTATTATTGGTTCAATCGTCCATATTCATGTTCTGACTAATTCTACAACTCAATTGTTTATCTTCAAGTTTTGGTAACAAGACGAGTAAAGACCTTGTTTCGAAATATGCTCTTGTGAAAACCGTTATTAAAAGCACTTTTGGTAATAGAACAATAAAAAAAAAAACTCTAAAAAAGGTTTTGTCTATCGTGTACAACCAAAAATGCTTCTAATTATCTGAAAACACTTTTAACGCTTATAAAATCGATGTAAATCGACCCTAAATATCTTAAACATTTTGTGCTTAAACATGGGGTCCTAAAACCATGGATCAAACATCTTAATCAGCTGGCAATGACAGTTTGCAGATTAGATTGCGTGTAAGCTTATCTTCTTGTTATCCATTTCCTCAATCCAAGGGATGTGCAAATATTATATTTGTAACCCATTAACAATATGCCTAGTATCATATGTAGGTGTATTTTGGATGGTCAACCCAAATCCGTCCATGCCCAATCCGATTTCAAATTCGATCAGGCGGGTTAGAATGAAGAAAAAACTCGCCCAAACCCAATCGGACCTCACCCTGATCATTTATTGGGTGAGGTTGGGTCGATGTCTTGGCCACCCGTGTCAACCCAAACCCAACCCCATTTTGAGTCTGAATTCGCTCACCCACATATTATCCATCGCAATTCATATTATATAAGTTACGTATAAGTTTTTGAAATGACTATACTTGATGTTTATTGTCAGTTTTCATATGGACATTTCTTTTGGTTGAAGCTTTGGTATATGTCTTGTAGTTTAGTTTATAAATACTTTCCAAGTTGTTTGTTAACTTTTGTGTGGCTGATGATATGTAACTAAAATTTTAATTAATATTAACATTGGTTCAAAATTTGAAAAATCATGCAAAATAAGGTGTTATAAGATTGAACTCGATAAAGTTGGGCGAACCCAAACCCAACCCAAATAGACTTGAGCCCAATTGAAACCCGAACCTGACTAAACCCGCATGAACCCAAACCCAACTCAAACTCGAATGGTAAAGGTTGGGTTGACCATCCAAAATACCAACTTGCTCAAGTTGCACCCCTACTTACAAGTGAAATAAAGCACTAGTGAAATATTTACTTTCTTTAGTGTCAAATCATCAAAATTAAACTGTCATCAAAGTAAAAAGGAAAATTTAAGTATGATGGTGCAAATATATTAACTATATCATCAGTCATATATGGTGGAAACACATTAACTATACTGTTGACAATTGCTTGACGAGTAATTTCGTCTCATGTTTACGTAATGCTATCAGTCTATTTTTGTTATAATACGTAATTAGTGATATCAAGTACTTGTTTTGCCAAAATTGGTCTGCAACAAGATGGACTTTACACTAGGCAAGTTGTAACAGCTACAAACAACTATAGAACAATAGTTCAAGAACCGAGCTAATTTTCACAGATTTACTTGCAAGCCAGAGAGAAACAAACTAAACATATGAATCCATTTTGATAATTTTCCTAATCTCTTTGGTTCTTCCAATTTGTACACTCTGCAATACTTAATAGTGACTGGTGTTATGGTAAATCTGTATTTCAGGTTTTTGTGAATGATCAGTTTCTTAACTGGGATCCAGAACACCGAATCAAAGTTCGGATTGTATCTGCGAGAGCTTACCACTCCCTCTTTATGCATAACATGTAAGTAATGAATCTGATATGCCAAGATTATTAAGTGCATAATGCTGAATGCAACAACATATTACACTCTTAGCATAGTGTTGAAACGATAACTGGCTGGATGACAGGTGCATCCGCCCTACTCCTGAAGAGCTGGAGGATTTCAGTACTCCAGACTTCACAATATACAACGCCGGGCAGTTTCCATGTAACCGTTTCACTCACCACATGACGTCCTCTACAAGCGTAGACCTCAATCTTTCTAGGAGGGAAATGGTCATCCTTGGCACCCAGTATGCTGGAGAAATGAAGAAAGGCCTGTTCAGTGTCATGCACTATCTCATGCCTAAGCGTCAAATCCTCTCCCTCCACTCTGGGTGCAATATGGGGAAAGGCGGCGATGTTGCCCTTTTCTTTGGCTTATCTGGTAACAGTTTTATGGCACTGCCACAACCGTGTGTGCAAGGATCAATTGGCGACGGATGCATAAATCTTTTGTGTTTCAGTTTCTTTTGTGTTTGTGTAACTGATCCTTTAATATATATATCATCTGCATTATGTTTGTTGTAGGCACTGGGAAGACGACTCTGTCTACAGACCATAATCGGTATCTAATTGGAGATGATGAGCACTGCTGGAGCAACAATGGTGTGTCAAACATTGAAGGTGGTTGCTATGCCAAGTGCATTGATTTGTCAAAGGACAAGGAACCAGATATTTGGAACGCTATCAAATTCGGGACTGGTAATTAGCATCATGATATAATTTGAACTTTCTACTTTAAAAACGACAGTTAGCGCAAAATGTTTCGGTTCTGTGTCATGATTGGAGTGATGTTTCAAATTCTTATCAAATATGGTTGCATATGTGTTTGGCAGTTTTGGAGAATGTTGTGTTTGATGAGTATAATCGAGAAGTTGATTACTCAGAGAAATCTGTTACTGGTAAGTAGTAACAAGTAGTAGCAAGTGAATAAGATGTTACAGAGAATGATATGAATCACAGTCCTTATAAAGAACATTCTCTTGAACTGTACAACTATTTACCGTGTCCTGCCGATTTTTGGTTTGACCTTGGCAAACATTGTTACAGAAAACACCCGGGCAGCATATCCAATAGAGTATATACCGAATGCTAAAATACCGTGTGTTGGCCCCCATCCGAAAAATGTCATCCTCCTGGCATGTGATGCATTTGGTGTGCTTCCACCAGTGAGCAAGCTGAGCTTGGCTCAAACTATGTACCATTTCATCAGCGGTTACACTGCTTTGGTATTCATTTGACCTTCTTTCCAGTTTGTAGTAGTTGCATGCATTTGATTTTATTGATGGAACTTCGAATGCAAAAATAGGTGGCTGGAACAGAAGATGGTATTAAGGAGCCACAAGCTACATTCTCAGCATGTTTCGGTGCAGCGTTTATTATGATGCATCCGACAAGGTATGCAGCAATGTTGGCTGAAAAGATGCAGAAGCACGGAGCCACAGGGTGGCTTGTTAACACAGGGTGGTCTGCAGGAAGGTATAAAATCTATTGAAACAGAAATCCACTGATGCATTTGATGATGCTCGTCCAGCATTGGAAAGAAAAATACAACTAGACCAAGAGTTAGTCAATGCACTTCGATTGTATAACATTTAGTTCTTTTGCAGGTATGGAACAGGTAACCGTATCAAATTAGCCTATACCAGGAAGATTATCGATGCGATCCACTCGGGGGACCTTCTGAATGCAACCTACACAAAGACTGAAGTTTTCGGTCTTGAGATTCCTACAGAGATTGAGGGTGTACCTTCAGAAATTCTGGACCCAATAAACACCGTAAGTTGCTCATTTCTTTTTCCGTCCACGTATTTTCTAGCTGCTTTAAATTTTGGTATGCATTTTTTCATTTGTATGAACTGGATCTGTGTGAATATTTTCAACGGCAGTGGTCAGACAAGAAAGCCTACAAAGACACACTACTTCATCTGGGTGGTCTGTTCAAGAAGAACTTCGAGGTGTTCATGAATCACAAGATCGGAAAGGACAACAAGCTGACCGGGGAAATTCTTGCAGCGGGACCAAATTTTTGATCCGGCAGCTGTGTGATTGATGAAATGAAATGAAATAATGAACATTTATACGTATATCTATCCATGTCATGTGAACCGATCAATTAACTCACTACCTTGTGTAAAGAAAGTGTCATTCAGTTTTCATTTTTCTTGGTTGTGTTCCCCGATTACTCTATGCAACCTTCTAAACCTTGTGTAAAGAAAGCATGTAATTGTTAGCTTTATGGATTGTGGAAGATGAGTTTGGTTTGAGAAGCTACCTGCGCACGGTCACCTCCGCATAGCTAATTAGCAGGTTGATATTTGAAGGCATGACATAATTTGCAGGCTTTTTTGGTTCGAGTTCAATGAATGAGCCTTTCAGTAGCCAACTCCGCCTTGTCGACGTTCTTGTATACCCGACACGCCCCGAGTAGGGCAGCCCAAATAACGGCACCTGCTTCCATTGCATTTTCCCCAGAGTTCATAGCCTGGTCCAAAAGACCAGAGCGTCAAAGCAGATCAACCATACAACCATAGTCCTCAATCTTAGGCACAATGAAATGGTCATCAAGTATTGACTAGAAGTACAAAAAGCCATCTTCGGCTAATCCAAGATGCGTACAAGAGCATTAAATGCCTATGAAGGTGATCCCATATGTTTTTTCTCCACAATTCTTCATTACAAACCGCAAAGTGTCCGAGTGTTCGACACTCAGGCACGCCTCGGACACGGATTGGACACGGTTAACAGTTTGGATACAGTTAAGACATGTTTAGGACACAGTCAAAACATGACGGGATATTTTTGTAAATATAAAAAAATTGGGGCATTTTTGTAAATATCAAAACTTCTGAAACCACTAAAACCTAAAACCTAAAACTTGAAGATCATTGAGACTCGAATAACATGTTGTTTTAATTATTATGTTTGTGTTTTTAATTATTATATATAGTGAATAAATTTGATGAATACGAGTACTTTGTAATATTATGAATTCCAAGTATTGTTTTAATATATGTAATACTTATTATATGTTAATCATCATATCCTAGCTGTGTTTGTGTTCCCTTTTTGAGTTTTAACATATTGCCGTATCTGTGTTTGTGTCCATGCGACCTAGTGGATATGTACAACATCACTCTTATGGTATTTGGGTTTAGTAGCCCTTTTACAAACCACCAACCAACAATAGTCATGTTCTAAAAATACATTCTCTACTCACCTTTTTTAACCAATACTAATTCATTCTGACCATAATATTGATAGATTATTGACATTAAGTTAAGGATAATTTCGCAACGAAAAACCAATAAAGTTTGTATTTTGAGAGCATGATTAATTTTAAGGAAAACTTATGAAAAGTCCTTAAAAACTTTAGTTTTAATCAAAAAGACAAAATAAATGTATAAGTGAATAGTACCATAAGTGACTTTTTAAAGTAAAAATGTCATTTTCTTTAAAAGTGAATAGTATCAGAAGTGTTTCGTTAAGATTCTCTTAATTTTAGTAAGTGTAGTAAGCCCAATTTCTCTTTACATAAACAATTTTATTATTTTCCTAAAAGATAATGTTAAGGGGATAAAAAATGTTAAACCAATTTTGCAAATTAAATAGTATGGTTGTAGATGATTGAATTATTAATTAAACGAAATACAGATTAACGTGCTTATTCTTTTTTGACAAAATATAGGTTTACAAATTTAGTTCTTTCCTAAAACATTCCAAATCTTGGAATAATTAAAGCCCGAAATCCAGGCCAGGGAATAATGGTCGATGTCATGAGCAGGATAAAGGTGTCAGAGAGAGAGAGAATGAGAGAGAGTGATCGTCAGCACCAAACCCTCACCTCCTATTGTCTTTCTTGACTTGGATTACCCTCATCGTTTTCATCGGGATTTAAACGCACTTTGAGCGGCTATTTTGTTCTGTCTAATCAGAAATTAGTTCCCATTTAAATATTCGGCACAAAGTTGTTGATTTCTGATTGCTTCCTTTGTTGAAATTTGAAGGCGTCAGCTGCTACTTTCCTCTCTCTTTTCTTTTCTTTTCTCATTATTTTCTCAGAGAGAGAGAGAGAGAGAGCAATTAATGTTCTCAAGCTGAGATTTGAGCTCAGAGAGAGATGGTGGTGAGGAAAGTGGGAAAGTATGAGGTTGGGAGGACGATCGGCGAAGGGACCTTCGCCAAGGTGAAGTTTGCTCAGAACACTGAGACGGGTGAGAGTGTCGCCATGAAAGTGCTGGATCGCACTACCATCATTAAACACAAGATGGTCGACCAGGTATCCTCCAATTTCCCAGAAACCTACCCAATTTACCTGTTTTGCATATTTTAATTTTGAATTCAAATAGTTTTCTAATTTACCCACCTGTTTTTTTGGTTTATGGTAATTTACCCACTTTCTGATTTAGCTTGGTTTCTATTTTTACTGCCCGATTTATGTAGTATCTAGGATTACAGAGTGACCCAGTTTCCAAATTGAGGTTTTTTCTTAAAAGAAATTTGATATGTGTGGTGCAGATCAAGAGGGAAATATCTATCATGAAGCTTGTCAGGCATCCCTACGTTGTTCGTCTGCATGAGGCATGTCATATCTTTATTTTTAGCTGCAAAAACTTTCTGTTTCTGTAAATTGTTTCACATGTGCAGTCGGTCACTGAGGATGATGTTGTTTTCCCGTAGGTTCTAGCGAGCCGTACTAAGATTTATATAATCTTGGAGTTCATTACTGGTGGTGAATTGTTTGATAAAATCGTGAGTACTCCTAACTTTTCAAATACCACAACTCAATTTCGAACTGTGGACCATTACTTCTTTTGAGAAAATGGTGATGGTAACGTTGAAGTCGCCTGTTTTTAGGTTCATCATGGGCGACTAAGTGAAGGAGAAGCCAGGAGATACTTCCAACAGCTTATTGATGGGGTGGATTATTGCCACAGCAAGGGAGTATATCATAGAGACTTAAAGGTCTTCCTTTTATGCATTTAGCTAGCTATTGTGATTCTTATCATGAGATTCTTATCAGTGTTCTTTTGCGTGAGATTCTTATCGTTGTTCTTTGCAGCCGGAGAATCTGTTGCTTGATTCTCTTGGAAATTTAAAAATTTCCGATTTTGGTCTGAGTGCATTGCCTGAGCAAGTAAGATTCGTATCCGAATCATTCTTGTCCATTGTTTGACACTTTAACGGTTGAGAGATTTGATATTTGTCGGGATTGTTGACATTATAATGGTTGTGAGATTTATTATTTATCGGGACTCATTTGTGATGTCTCGTTGTCTGACATTATAACGGTTGAGAGATTTGATATTTGCTGGGATTGTTGACATTATAATGGTTATGAGATTTGATATTTGTCGGGACTCATTTTTGTGATGTCTCATTGTTTGACATTTTAACAGTTGAGAGATTTGATATTCATCTGTTTTGTTGACATTATATTGGTTGTGAGACTTAATTTTGACGGGACTCATTTTTTTGGTGTCTGCACATAGGGAGTCAGCCTCCTTCGGACAACCTGTGGCACCCCTAACTATGTAGCACCTGAGGTAACGACAAATTTATCTAGCTTCAGCGTTAAACGTTGACTATATCTCAACTGCTGATTCTTCTAGTTTCAATCATTGTCGTGTAATATGCTGATTCTTTATTCTTATATTTTATTTTGTGCTCTAGGTACTCAGTCACAAGGGTTATGATGGTGCCGTGGCAGATGTTTGGTCCTGTGGGGTCATCCTTTATGTTCTGTTGGCAGGTTATCTTCCGTTTGATGAGCTTGACCTAACCACACTATATAGTAAGGCATGAATTTCTTTCATTTGTACTCATTTCTGCTTATTGTGCCTTTCAGCATTAAGTTTCTTGATTGATATTTTGGATCAATATGTGCATACTCTGAAACATATTATGTTTGGTTAATGAGTAGCTCAGTTACCACCACAATATGATAACATTGAAGGGGTGATTAAGTGTATTTCGTTGTGAAGGAATGTAGAAATTCTGTCTCTGTTCTTTCACATGCTAGATACCCCTTTGACATTATTTTTAGGTGCAGTTTCTAGTGGATGCTAGGTTTGATTCTTTAATCATCTAGTTTCTGTTGCAACTCAATACTTTGCCTCGTCTGTTGACTAGTTTTCCACAAGGATGTCAAAGTAGGATGTTAATACTAGTCACTATCGTTTAATTTCTGCAGATTGAGAAAGCAGACTACACATGCCCATTTTGGTTTCCAGTGGGAGCAAAATCCTTGATTCACAGAATTTTAGAAACAAACCCTGAAAATGTAAGTATTGGCTAAGCGATAAGACATTGTTCAGTTTTTGTATGCGTAAAGTGCACATTTTATTGCTTCATTACTATTTCGATATCTAACAAAAACACCATTGCAAAGTGTTGGTGTCAGGTTTTTATCATATTGCTTTACAGTGGACATCTTAAAGTCTTGGAATGAATAACACATGTAACTAACGAAGATAAGGGTGAGGTGTGTAATAAAACAAATGTTAGAAGATAAGTATTTAATTAGAAGTACCAAGGCCTATGTCCTCAGATTTCTTTCACCATTAAATGATTTATTTCCAATGCATTTTAAATTGACAAGTAAAACTTAGTTTTTCAGAACTTGGTGTGTACCGTGTGTTAAAGATTTCTAAAGAACTAATGTTTTATGTGCTTTCTAAACATTTTCCTCTGGCTGTCACCAACGTTGGATTGGGCCATGACAATCTTCTTTCAGTCACCAATCCCAGTTACGGGTGTGACTGTTAAGGTATCATAACTTGGTCTGAAGAAAAACGCTCCTCACTGGAATATGACTGAAATAAAGTCAGTGCCTTTAAGCGTGTCATATTTACACTTGTAATGCAAGAGAAATCTAACTCTAGATTAGCTGGAATATGACTGAAATAAAGTTGTAGTACTTTTAAGTTTTTTTATTTTATTTTTTTTAATTTTTTTATTGGAGAGCAGTTAAAAATTCTAAGTTGGAATAGTTAATATTAAAAGTAGAAGTCTAGTTGTTACGAACAATAAATACCTTTTTCTTTATTGAGAATTATGAGCACTGGCTTGGGCCATCTACAGTGGGATATATCCCTTAATTATTCTTCAACCCACATGACCTCTCTTTTTTTTCCTTTTAACGTCGATAGTGTTCAGGACCCACTCATGACATACATTTGCATTCTTGGTTAAGTTTTTGCTATTTTTGAAAGTTTATTTCCCACTGCATCACATTATTCACCCCCCCTGAGTGATTTAATTCAAAAGT